TCTGTCTAATACCCTTTACAAGCCATCTATGCCATGGCCGTTGCTAAATCCAGTGGCAAGTGAATGCCCCATTTACTCATTCAAGCAAAGAAGTACTTCTGTTTGCCTGACCTGAATCCATCCTGAATCATCTTCAGGATGATGGCAGTGGAGACATTTCTGTCTCTTTCAGAGATTGTGGATGTACATCAAGCGCCATCAAGTCACAACTGATTTATGGCATCCCAACAAGTTGCTTTCAAGGCAAGTAAGAAGCAGGGGTGATTTGCCCTTGCCTTCCTCTGCAAAGTCTTCCTTGGTGGTCTCCCTTCCAAATACCAAGCCTGCTTAGTTTTCGAGATATGACGAGACTGCGCTAACCGTACCACCTTTCCTCCCCTTCAGTGTTCACTTCTCCAGTTATATAAAAAAAACAACCCATCCATTTATTCTTCTCCCCACCACCAGTTCTGCTTTTTAGCCTGCTTTGAAAAACTTGTTATTTACTTATAGATATTTAATAAGATTCTTGTACCTCTCTTTTCTCCCTAATGGGGACCAGAAGCAGTTTACATTGTCTTCCTCTCCTCTGTTTCAGCCTCACCTCCCCCTGTGTGAGGTAGGTTACACCGAGAGTGTGTGACTGGCCCAAGGCCACCCAACAAGCTTCACTCAGCAGGGTGCGGATTTGAACCAGGGTCTCCCCGATCCCTGTCCCACAATCACTACATAATACCAGCTCTTTAAAGAGGTCCTGTCCTCTTACCCTGTGACCACTAAATTTTCTTGGGAACCTTTGACGAAGGGCTTTGCCAAACCCCCAAATTTTCAGCATTAAATGGATTGCCCAACTCTTTCCTGTGTGGACTCTGGGTTCAGGGAGAAAGATGCCTCAGGAAGGTACTACCAGGCACTCTCTCTTACAGGCAGACACCCATAATTCCATCTGCAGTACGTGTTATCTTTGTGGTGGTCTCTCAGCTTGTCTGCCCAACCAAAGGGGAGGCCATGGAAGCTGCATGGCCGAAACAGAAGATTCAAACCTAGGGCTGCCTTGTGGTCATTCTGTTCTTTGACAATATTGTTTCTATCAATTAGGCCCAGGGACCCCAACCTGGCACCTGTGGGCACTGTCATGCCCACTGACACCTTTTCTGGTGCCCACCAGGTGTTTTTGGAAAGTGGGCAGAGCCAGATGCGGCTTTTGCCTAGCAGGGCTTCTGATTGGCTATGCAGGTTAAAAGCCATCGAGTTACATGGAGCTTATATGTGAAACACTGAAGAGTTACTATTAGAATTTTAAATAACCTTGCTCCCTGACATTTCATGGTCGGTTCCGCCTCCTGCGGCATCCATTTTGTGCTTGGCTCCATTTAGGGTTGCCAAGTCCCTGCTGTATGTACAGCGGGGGACTCCAGCTCCGTCCCGGGAGTGCGCGCGTGCGCCACAACCACGTCACCTGGAACTGACGCGGCTGCGTCGGGTGCGCCAGGGGCAGGGCCGCGGTCATCCGAGGGAAAAACATAGAGTTTTCCCTCGGATGACTGCGGCCCTGTCCCCGGCGCGCCCGGCGTGGCTGCGTCACTTCCAGGTGATGTGCTGATGCCGGCCACGTCACATGTTTTGGGGGTGGGGTTCTGCCCGGGGCCTGATCCGCCGGCGGCAGGTAACGGGCCTCTGGGGCGGGGGTTTCCCTGCCCCCCCGGGGGGACTTCGCAAGCTTAGCTCCACTTCCTGCAGCAGCCATTTTGTTGTTGCACCCACAACCCTGGGTCAGAATTCCCAAAGTGCCCACATGCTCAAAAAGGTTGGGGACCCCTGAATTAGGTGCTGGAGACAAGAACTGCCACTGGTTTTGAACATCATGGGTACCTTGAAGTCCTGCATCAGATCCTCAGGAAGAAATGGGGAAAGAAACTGGAAAGGGGATAGTTGGACCCATTTGAAGGGCTACTACAGTAATCGACAACACCATGCCCAATGATATGCTTCCTGCTTCCCCCTGCCTTCTTCCTCAAAGCTAGCACCAGATCCTGGCTTTCCCCCACCTCCCAGGAGAAAGAGGTGCTTCAAAAGAGCCGAAAAAGCACCACCTTTGTTTTTGCATGAAACTCTTAATCAAAAACATTGCCCACATCAAATGAGGACACTTCTTTGGAACCTCCCAATGTTTTGTGATTGGCCCTAGTTCCCATGGCAGCCATTTTGTGGTTCGCTGCTCACACACACCCTCCCATAACAGCCATTTTGTGCCGCTATCTGTTCTCAAAAATCTAAAAGTTCCCACAGGTTAAACATGCTTGGAGATACCTTGCCTTGTAATAAAGTCAACGGTGACCAAACAAATTAGCTGGTACTTTATTAGTGGATAAACCGGCACAGGAAGTTGACTGCTCGACTAGAGGTTCTTTGGACAGATGCATAGAAAAGAAGGGGACATTTTGCCCTCCTTAGAACGTTCTCCCCCCTCCCCAGTCTTGTGAGAAACCAGTGACTCTGTGTGGTACTGTGAGCAGGAGTGGAAATAGATCCCTGGAGGCCTAGATTTGGGTTATGTGTGCTATGTCATCCCCCAAACCCAGGGAACTATAAACAGGAGGGATTGGGACATGATCTTCCCATGTTTACAGGGCTGACAGATGGATCTCTGCCTTCTTGTTGGTGCTGTGCAACAAACACAAAACCATGGGGGAACTCCACACTTGGGGGAGAGGTGCAGGTAATTGTAAAACAGGGCGCCAAGCACCACACCCCCATATGCTGCTAGTCAAAACCTAAAAATTGAACACAGTAACTGTGTTCGCCCTGTGCTGATTGCAGCTGCCACATTAGTACCAAGGCTGAAATCTGGATTGGCTTCCCCAGCTTGTGTATCTTCAAGATCTAGCCCTGCAGTTGCTGGAACAGAACCTGCTTTTAATTTCATGAAATAAAGTGTTTCTTGGATTGGTGGACCTTGATCTGGATGAATGGGGGGAAACAGAAGCCCCTGGGAGGCCTGACTGAGGGGTCTCACACCTCATGCAGCCATTCCAACTGGATGGGAAGCAGCTCAGACTGACTTTTCCTCCTGTAGTGGGATCCCTCTTGAGCTACCACTCAGCACACTCTGTTTATCTAGAACATTCTGAGCCTCCCAAAACGCTCGGGGCAACTTATGCAGTTCTTCCTTCGCACATTTTATCCCCACAACAATTCTGTGAGGTAGGTTAGACTGAGAACAAACAACCCAAGCTCTCCTTGGCAGAATGGAGACTTGAACTCCTCTCCCAGATCCTAGTTTAACATTCTACCCACTGTACCACCACCGGTTCTCACACTTGAGGGGGGTGTTAACTGGAGTCATTGAGGGGTGTGCGAGGGTTCAAGCCACTCTTTTTTCCATGTAGAAACAACAGAGAGATCACGGGAAGGATGCAAACAATGATGAAAACAGCCGTGATGTAGTATTATGAAAATATATTTAGACTGCTGTTTTGCAGTGAGTAGTGTTTCTTCAACAAGTAATAAAGATGTACGCATTCTCCGTGGCAGCCTTGAACTGACAAAAGCAGGAGAAATTGATTGGTGTCCACAAGAGAAGAGGAGAATGGAAGCCCCTGTATTTACACACACTGCTTCTCAGGCATGGTTTCCCCCTGCTGTGATCCTAGTAAAGTTGCCAGCCTCCTGGTGGGGACTGGAGATCTCCCACTTTTACAACTGATCTCCAGAAATCAGCTCCCCTGGAGAAAATGGTTGCTTTGAAGGGTGGACTCTCAGGCATTGTACCATGCTGAGGCCCCTCCCCAACCCCCCCTCTCCCGGATCCACCCCCAAAGTCTCCAGGTATTTTCCAACCCAGAACTGGCAACCCTAGATCCTAGAGATTCATTGGATGCTGAGTGGTAAACATTCTACTCATCTGTTTCCAGAGAAATCCTTTTAAAAGTTCAGTTTTTTGTTGGAAGAGATGTGTAGCGGTCTTCCACACATTTACAAATGTAGGGATTGAGCACAGGGGAGCAGGCAGTCCAAGACAAGAAACTGGCATCAGTTTTCCAAAAGTAACACCTAATCCTCCCGACCCACCAAGGATCCTTCTTCCAGCTAACTGGAAACACGCAGACTTGTGTCTCCTCTGGATGCATTCCAATTATCTAATTATTTCCTCCAGGCGTCCCACCCAAGCAGGTGGGACGGATCTTGTAGCCATCAGACAAAGTCCACTACTCAAGCACTGTCCACTTCAAAGCCTTCGGACGAAGTAATTTTCAAAGAAGGTAACTGCAAACATATCTTCAAAGAGGTACTGTGTAACCCTAAACAAAATTATACCTTTCTAAAGTCCGCCAATTTTAAGCTGTAACTCCATTTAGGATTGTACTGCCAGTTTCCCAAATTATATTTTCACATTTAGACACAATATTTGGATATTGACCATGTTACGCTCACCACACAACACCTTATTCTCACAACAGCGACATTTTCAGGATTCTGTAGTTCAATACACATTAGCCGTCGACTGACTGAAGAAGCAGCAGTAAACATGTCTACTCAGAAGTAAGTCTTGTTTTATTCGGGGGAGGCTTACACCCAGGAAAACGTTCTTAGGACAGCAGCCTTAATTACCAAGTTAAACCAATAGAACCATGCTACTCAAATAGCTGTTCCACACCCTGTTGCAGGCTATCTGCTGGCTTTTAGCCAGACCCCTGCAGAGGCTGCGTATCTGCAAATTTGTCAACCATCCTTGGTCATAATGCTCCCCACATGAGGTTCCCCATGCGTCACTTAGGAATTACGCACCCCGCTTTTAGAAACTGTGCTACAGGAAGAGGGAATTCTCCCTGACTGAGATGATGCATCTCCAAGACCGAAAACGCTGAGGTGAGTTTTGGCCAACTGCATAAACAAAGGATCAGTGAGCCAAAATCACAAGACAACTTTGAGCGACTTTTCTTCAGTGAACTGACACATAAAACCAGTAAAAACTCTGCTTTCAAGGCTGGGCCAGTCCCACTAACTTCCAGCTAACTCACCCGTCTGTAGACGTCATCCCGGGTGGCTTCATACTTCTGTTGCATGCGCTCCTCCAAGAAATAGATGCGCAGCTTGAGGCTGAAGTTCTCTTTCTTCAAGTCATTGAGGTGCTGGGACAGAGTACGGTATCCATTAGACATGGTTGGGGATCCATGGGGTGGGGACTCGCCGCACACCCCTTTCACTCCAGTAACATGGTCAAAACAGAGAAGGGAAGGCGAGCCCCCACAAGAACGGTTATAGCGGCATGGCTTGGAGGGCCTACAGAGACATGGGGACAAGCTTTGGAGCTTTGGGTGTCGGCTGCTGCCCTGTGGCTTTGCCTCCGCCGCACCGACTCAGGAGCAGAGTATGGCTCACTTTCCTTTTTTACCTCCAAGAGGTATTTGTGGAATCCTTGGCAGAGGTTCATCCTGCGGGAGCCCAGACACAAGTGGCGTAATCTGAGCTGGGCCTCTGTGGTTCCACTGTCACCTCACAGCTGTCCCCCTCACCAACTGCAGGAGATTAACAGCTCCGTGTGTGAGAGAGAAACAGGGTGAATTTGGCAGCCGACCTCGGAGAAGAGGAGTAGAAACAGCTTGCAGTGGGGTCGGGTGTGGGGTGAGTAATATGATCGAGGTAGGGCCTGATGGGGAAAGGAGAGACGATCCCCAATCTCACTGAGGATCTGATTTCCCCTCATAAATCCTGCCCTCAGAGATGAGAACTCTCCCTCCCCTTCTCAGGCCGCAAAAAACAATATGGAAATTTCAGGTGGAACCCCAGATAAAACAGCTGTTCCTAAACCAGTATGTTCCCAATCCAACCAATAAAACCAGGCTGTGCTAGGGAAACAGCACTGGGGTCTGAGAAGCTAACACAGTCCAGATCAGTTCCCCTGGAGAAAATGGCAAGTTTGGAGGGTGGACTCTATGGTATCGCATCCCTACCGAGCTCTTTCCCCTGTTCATCCTCCCCAGACACTCCCCCAATCTCCTGAAATTTCCCAAGACAGAGCCAACAACCACAACCAGGGTTGCCAACCTCCAGGTGGTAGCTGGAGACCTCCCAGAATTACAGTTGGCTTCCACGTTACAAAGATTAGTTCCCCTGGAGAAAATGGCGACTTTGGAGGGGGGACTCTATGGTATCGCATCCCTACCGAACTCTTTCTCCTGTTCAAACTCCATCCTCCCCACACACACACACCCCGCAATCTCCTGAAATTTCCCAAGACAGAGCCAACAACCACAACCAGGGTTGCCAACCTCCAGGTGGTAGCTGGAGACCTCCCAGAATTACAGTTGGCTTCCACGTTACAAAGATTAGTTCCCCTAGAGAAAATGGCTGCTTTGGAAAGTGGATTCTATGGCATTATACCCCACTGAAGTTCTGCCCCACCCCTCCTAGACTCAACCTCCAAAATCTCCAGGAATTTCTCAACCCAGAACTGACAACCCTATCCCTCACTGGAGGAGGAGGAGGAGAGAATCTTAACATGTGTGAGGGATTAGAAAAATGACAGGAGCTGACGACACAAGAGTTTAGTGCTAGGAAAGGTTTTCCACCCATGAGGCTGTGAAAATTTTCAAAAATCGAAATGGCAGTCCTCAGGTTGCTAACACCTGACAATGGATGTTCAAACACAATTGAGGTGTTAACCTTTGGGGCATCCATTGTCATTGTGCTACTGCCACATGAGGTACGCTGCGCATGAGATGATGTGGTTGGTGACTGAACCTCCCTTCATTCCCTTCTCTATTATTTTTGACGACCTTCCTCTCCCCTAGTGCAGTAAAAGGACTAAGAAAGGGGAAAACTTTGACAGCTTCCTCAGTGTTCTCTCTCTCTCTCTCTTTCTGTATCTGTCTGTTTGTCTGTCGCCCAGTGATTTATTTATTGTCTGGCATCTCCCAGTGATAATCCATAGAAATGCTGCCCTGAAAGAAAAAGGCCCTTCTGAAACTTTCTGCTCTCTTTTCCCAGCAGTCGTGACAGTGGCTGTGGAGAAGGTAGGTGAGTGAAGGTTTCCCAGTGACCGCCATTGATGCTGTCAGTGGAGAAGATTTGGGGAGATGGAGGGAGCTCAAAGTGGCATTGTGTGCGTCAGCCAGGTTTTCCCTCCAGTCGGTTCCCTGTCCTTCCAGGGCTTTGTTTCCTACCCTGAGCGACAGCAAATTCATCAGCTCCTGTTTCTTTGGCAGTGCTGCCCTGCAGCCAAACTCTTTCCCTCTCAGGATTGCTTCTTTCTACCTTCTGCTCTGTTCTTACGCTGTAGCAACAGCCCACCAAGGCTTCTTGCTTCCGTGCTCCTTAAATGGGGCCACACAGGCCATCAACTCTAGTCCAATCACCTGCTCAGTGCAGGATCAGCCTAAAGCATCCCTGACAAGGGTTCCTCCAGCCACTGCCTGAAGGCTGCCAGTAAGGGGGAGCTCACCACCTCCCTAGGCAGCTGATTCCACTGCTGAACTACTCTTACTGTAAAACATTTCCCCCTACTATCCAGCTGGTACCTTTCCGCCTGCAATTTAAACCTATTATGGTGAGTCCTATCCTTTACTGCCAACGAATCACAATTCTTTCAATGAATCATGTATTTTTTTTTTGTTACAGTGAATGGATCACAGAAAATGCAACTGACACAGATCTGAGCTAGTGCCACTACAGTGGTAGCAAAAACATGCTTCTTGTTATTGTACGGATTGTCTCCTTAAGATTTCTGCTAAGCTCTCTGCAGAAGCTAAGACAATAGTTTTCACTCCTCTGCTTTTGCTCTAGAGCAAGCGGGGATTTTATTCATTGTTCTGATGCAAGACAGATGCTTTACTTTATTGCAAATGTTTGAATATGTGCATACAGCTCAGCTCTTTTATTTATAAAGCCACAAGAGAGGAAAGACATAGACAAAGCTCCCTCTGGGGCTGGGAATAAAAGGTGCCTCACAAAAGGCTATTCTCTCTCTCTCTCTCTCTCTCTCTCTCTCTCTCTCTCTCTCTCTCTCTCTCTCTCTCTCTTTAACAAACCGATGCTCTGAAAATATGCATGATTGTGAGGGATGTTGGAAGTGAAGGACTTTGTGCTGTCTCTTAGCCTCAGACTTCAGAGGGGGACTATAAGGGAGCCAGAGAGATAGATAGGCCAGGACCCTAATCATCCTTTCCTTTCTCCTGCTCTGATACTATCCCTTTGATGTATAGATTGCTACTCTCAGGGAGTCTTCTTTCTGGCCTGACATCTTCTCTCCACACTGTGCCACTCTTCTCCATCTTGGTACAATGAGGGCAGGACATGCTTCCTGCCCCTCTATCCATCCTAGCTAGTTAGACTAGATTAGAATCCTATCTCTACTCTATCCTATCTATCTATCTATTTATTTTATTATATTTCTATCCCGCCCTCCCCGCGAACGGGCTCAGGGCGGCTCACAATGTGCCAAATATAAAAACATATAAAAACACATAAAACAAAATAAAACAACCATATTTTACAATTAAAGTGCTTAGTGATGTTAGTCCTTCAATCAAATTGAGATGGCATAGTGTAGATGTAATACAAAGTCCTGGTTCAGCGGTAATCGATCTGTCACGATGCTGTGGCTCGATCTTCATAGGGCCGGCCCACTACCCCGTGGTTACTAACGATAATAGTTGGTGGTAGTGGCAGTGACAGCTCCTAATTAAAAGCCTGGCGGAAGAGCTCCGTCTTGCAGGCCCTGTGGAACTGTAAAAGGTCCCACAGGGCCCTGATCTCCTCCGGGAGCTCAGTCTTTGGGACTGCTGTTCCCCTAGCACCACCCTTTGTCCCCGACCCTGGAGAAAAGAGGCAAGCCACCATAAGACAAGCCCCCGTATCCCCACGTTGGTGAGGCGGTGGATCAGTAGCTGGTGGTCAACCGTGTTGAACGCGGCCAACAGGTCTAACAACTGCAGTTCTGCCACACCACCTCGGTCCAGATGCCTCCAGAGGTCATCAGTAAAGGCGACCAGTGCTGTCTCCGTCTCATGACCCGGGTGGAAGGGATCTAGGATGGAAGCTTCATCCAGAAAACCCTAGAATGGAGTTCCTTACAATAAAGGAGTCACATTAGTTTTGCAAAGATAAAGAGGCCTCATGTGTAACCTTCTTGTCAGCACACACAAGCCAGATAGTCTCTACTACAGTGTTTGCCTTGAGCACTCTACTAACCAAATAATCCTTCAAGGGAATGATAGAGTGCTACAAAGTACTTGCAGAGAGATCGCACAAAGGAGAAATGGTGCAGGGCTACAATTTGGACCAGCCCAGATCACAATAAACATTCATTGTTTCATTGCCTGAGACAGTTTTTTGTTTGCTAATGGCCCCGGTCAGATGTGCCGGAAAACACCGGGGGGGGGGGGGGTGGGGCTATTTGGGCCGTCACACTGATGCACTATTATGCAATCAGATGCGACGGCGGCTTCCCTGCAGCAAAGAGGACGATGGGGGAGGAAGCCGCGCGCCAGCGCGATCACACCGGGAGGCTTCCATAGGCAGCTCGTGGCAAGGCGTTTGCCACTACATGCGGTGAGATGGTTTTTTACTGCGCGGCTTCGGCGGTTTGCCATGGGTTCACCACGGGAGTGCTACGCCTCCCAGATGTTCCTGTGTGATCACACCTGGATACGCCGCAGGACTCCCGTGCCTTCAGCGGGGCAAATGCTCCGTGTGAATAGGGCCTGTGTTGTTTTTCTGATTCTTCAATCCAAGCCCAACAGCTAAAGTTGCCAGGTCCTGCCTGGCCACTGGCTGGGGATAGGGGGGTAGGATTGCTATATCCAGTTCGGTAAACTCCTGGAGACGTGGAGGTAGAACCTGGGGAGGACAGAGACCTTAGTGAAGTACAATACCATAGATTCCACCCTCCAAAGCATCCATTTTCTCCATGGGAACTGATCTCTGTAGTCTGGAGATGAGCTATAATTCCAGCTTAACATTAGAATACAGCCAAACTCTCTTCCTGTACAGTCCAAGGTCTTTTTTAGTGGCTTAATATACATTTAAATTAGTCCACAGAGGACTCCTACTCCGAAGCATCTGAAGAAGTGAGCTCTGACGCTCAAAATAAATGCAGGAAGAACTGTTTGTCTTTATGGTGCCTCTGGACTTCTGTTTTCTTTAGCTACAATGGACCACTCCAAAGAAGACTTTGGTTGTACAGGAAGAGGGTTTGGCTGTTTAAAATAATGAATTGTGAGGAGTCTTGTGTAAAAAAAAAAGGGACCAATTTGGAGCTGTTTATGGAGTCCTATGTGGACCATATTGAAATATGTATGAATGTATTTGATGTTAGTTGTTTATATTATACATTTTGAATTAAATTATTTTT